TAGTTGTCCAATAAAGTTCAATAAACAAAGGCTTTTCTTACACACGGACTGTCCAAAGGCTTTGCTTACATACGGCATGCCCGCCCCCTGAAAATTTTGAATTTCTTGAAGTGAGGATAATTAGCTGTTTCCAGCATTTTGAGGAGTTTTCCAACAAGAAATTAACCTTACACTAGTCCCTGAAAATCAAACCAGCTAATCGTCTGGAATTGGTCAAATCGATCACTGCAACAATGCTGTTTTGCAACATTTTTCCCCACCAAATACTGGGGCAGGATATCCCCCCCCCCCAGTTTGTTAGTGCAGGTATTTTTTTTATTCAGAATAAGCTTACAGGAAATTTTTTTTCAAAATCACCCCCCCCCCAAAAAAATCTCTTGATCACTTTACATTGCATTTCGACTACATATATTAGCTAGAATTTGTCATTAGATATGCAAAATAAACGTGCGAAATGCAAAACTGATGAATCACCTTAAATAAACCTATTTTTATTAGTTATGACCAGCGTTCAAAGTCAAACTTGCCCAAATAATAATTGTTATTTTGACCAGTTTATATTCATTGTAACCTATTCAATTGGTTCAACAGCCAATTTTTGTTGATTATAGCCAATCATTCACAATTGACCAAATAATAATAGATTATTTTAACCAATTTATATTGGTTCTAACTTAGACTTCAATTGGTAAATCAACCTATTAATATTGGTTGCAACCTCTAGAAACACAGGTTATTTTAATCTACCAGTTATTACAGTGTAATTACGGTCAAACTGGCGTGTTTGAGTGTTTCAGAATAAACACGTGTATTGTCTGTAAATATTATCGTGCATCATGTCAGAGAGATTTAGGACGAAACCCTTGACGCAAAAACTTTAATAATCCAATGATTCATGGCACAAAAGGTTATACAACAAATGCAAGATTAAATTAATGTTTACCTATAAAGTTGGAATGAACAATTAGCACTCACCAACACCAGCGCGCAATCTATCACTGTTTAGACAGCCATAACTTCTATCATCACCACTTCTGGGATTTTTAAAATTAGGTTCAAAACCAGTACACCAACACAGACCATCAGATTTTCTACATGTTGCATCAAAATTCGTATAAACACTTGAATCATACGTGCAACCATCTTTCCCAACACGAAAGCTGTCTACAACATTTCGATTGACCCAAACCACTTCGCAACCAATCAAAACCATCTTGTACGACAAACATATAGCCAACACTAAAACAACTTTGTTTTTTAAATACATATTTATCAAATACCAGTGACCACTTTGGGAATTAAACAAACACGAATTTGTATGGCATTCCTTACAAAATACTGTATATTGTAGTTGACATCATGAGTACTTTTCGTCCTGTTTGCACCAATGGCAATGGTTTGCACTGATAAACACTCAGTTTTTGAAAGTGAAACAGCACGATATTACGTTTTTACACCAAACCCACATGGCAAAGAACTTTCGATTAAAACCGTATGCAACGTTTTGAGAGTGAAATCTAATCTCATTTTCTAACGAAGGCTTGCCCCGCTCAAAACGCCGTAATCAGTTTTTATCAAATTGTGTGACGATTTAAATTGAATATGATAAATTTATGAAACATTGAACTACATATTAATTATTAAATATCTCTTCGTCAAAAGTTTGTCGCGAGTTTTTTAAAGAACACTTGACGTGTTTGATTAAGCGATTTTGTCCACTCAAAAGAATACATCGAGTTGTATGTTGATTTACACAATACAACTCAAGGTTGTAAGCAGGCTGCATGCGTAATAATTCTGGCGGCGAAATTCTGTACCAATTGTAGCTTCTTAATGTTTATTGATGACGTATTGGCCCAGTCAGTAGAACAGCAATATAACTTGCCCATGACCAATGATTGAATAATTAGTATTAGGGTGTCTCTATCAAAGGAATCTTTTACACGATAGATTTGGCCCAATTTCGCCGTTTTAGTTATATGATCGTCGTAAGTTAAATGAGAGTCAAGAGTGACTCCCAAGTCACTGGCCGAAACAGCAGGTCTCATAAGTTGTCTTTGATCAAAATGTATACGTTGTCCAAAGAAACCTAGCTGTGATATAATGTAAAACCTCAACTTTTAATGTTTTATTATGTGTACAAATACTGATATTAAAGGGTATGGTATTAGTAATTAAACCACAGAATAAAGATCCATACAGGAGGGCCACTTACGTCTGAATCTTTGAAGTTTCTGTCCTCGCGCATGTCGCATTACGCATGTTGGCCGCCATTTTCCTAGCCAGTCATTGACATTTTCCGGCCAATAAACACGCTGTACTGGCTGGCTGCTCCGCCTTCTGGCCAGTAAACTACATATTTTTGTATAAAAAACGAGGACGCGTTGCACTGCTGAGTGGCCCTTCTGTTGGTCTTTATTCTGTGCTTAAACTGTAAAATAAGTCAGCTTGCAAAATTCTTATATTTTTCTTTCGTTAGATATTTCAGTTAATTTAACATGGAAATAAGATGACGTCACAAGCTGGGTAAAATTTTTGACAGTTCACAGGACTCCATTAAAAACTTCATATTTTTGTATGCTAGATTGGTCAATGAATCATCGATACAGACTTAAAGGCACAGTTCAGCCTGTTGAACGATGGTTTTTAAGGCGCATTTCAGCCCTTTTAATTGAAAAAACTAACTAGGAAAATCAATTAAGCA